TAGAGTTTTCAACTTGCAAACAAAAAGTATTTCAATCCGAAGAGATGTAGTCGTGGATGAGCATGCTTATTGGAACTGGGATAAGGAGCAAATTGAGAAAGATAATGCAGTTTTTCAGAACATGAGTCCGCTGCCTGAAATCAAATCATTTGGGTCTGAAACTCTGGAAGAAAACGAAGAATCAGACGGGGAATCCTCACTTGATCCGCCAATTTTGAAGACAACGTCTCTTTCTGAGATATATGAAAGACGTAATGTTGCAATCTCGGAACCAATTAGCTATCAGGAAGCATCAAGACATGAAGTTTGGATTGAAGCCATGAAGGAGGAGATTGTTATGATAGAAAAGAATGATACTTGGAAGTTGGTTGATAAACCCAAAAACAGAAATGTGATCGGGGTGAAGTGGGTTTATAGAACCAAACTTAATCCAGATAGCTCAGTTTGTAAATACAAAGCAAGGCTTGTTGTGAAAGGTTACGCGCAAGTTGCAGGTCTGGATTATGGGGACACGTTTGCACCTGTTGCACGACATGATACAATAAGGCTGCTATTTGCTTTGGCAGCTCAATCAAATTGGAAGTTGTATCATTTGGATGTGAAATCGGCATTCTTAAATGGACTATTGCGGGAGGAGATCTATGTTGATCAACCAGAAGGCTTTCAAGTTGCAAGAATGGAGGATAAAGTCTACCGACTTCATAAGGCATTGTATGGATTAAAGCAGGCTCCTCGAGCATGGTACAGTAAGATTGATGATCATCTCATTCATTGTGACTTCAAGAGAAGTGAAAATGAAGCGACTTTATATGTGAAGAAGGCTAAAAGATGAGATGTGTTTGTGGTGTCACTCTATGTTGATGATCTTCTGGTAACATGAAGCAATAAAGTTATGGTGAATCAGTTCATGCAAGAAATGGAGACCAAGTTTGAAATGTCAGATTTGGGTGAAATAAGTTACTTTCTGGGAATGGAGATTCATCAAGCTACTGTTGGAATATTTATTTCTCAGAGAAAATATGCATGGGATATTCTTAAAAGGTTCAAAATGGAGAGGTGCAAGTCTGTACCGACCCCACTGGTTCACAATGAAAAGATTTTGAAGTTTGAAGGAGGTGATAGGGTTGATCCAACAGTTTATAGAAGCCTGATTGGTAGTTTGTTGTATTTGACAACAACAAGACCCGATCTCATGTTCGCCGCAAGTTTACTGTCGAGGTTTATGCAAGCTCCAAGTCAAGTTCATCTTGGTGTTGCTAAACGAACGTTGAGATATATCAAAGGAACTGCTGATTATGGTATTTGGTTTAAAAAGGAAGAGCAAGGGCAACTGATGGGCTATTCAGATAGTGATTGGGTAGGAAGCGTTGATGATATGAAAAGCACTTCTGGATATGCTTTTACACTTGGTTCAGGCATGTTGTCATGGAATTCAAAGAAGCAAGAGGTGGTAGCTCAATCTTCCGCAGAAGCAGAATACATCGCCGATGTTGGTGCAACTAATCAGGCTCTATGGTTAAGAAAGATTCTACATGATCTCGAGCAAAATGACATTGAAGCTATTGTCATTAAGGTTGACAACAAGTCAGCAATATCTATGGACCAAAAATCCAGTGCAACATGGTCGTAGCAAGCATATAAATGTGATGTTTCACGCTATCAGGCAAGCAAAGAAGGATGGCGAAGTTCAACTTGTTCATTGCAGCTCATATCAGAAGATTGCAAACATTATGACCAAGGCTCTTCCTAAGGGGAAATTTGAAGTTCTAAGGGCTAAGTTGGGAGTATCCAAAGAAAAAACTCAAGGAGGAGTGTTAAGAAAATGAGATTATTTCTAGATTGGTTTTTGTTTAATTGTTATTTTCTTAAATATTATGTTAAGTATGTAAAGGAAGGTAGTCCTTGTTTATGGAATATGTTTGTAAGAAGTCAATAGTGGTTGGATATGTATGGTCCTCTACTAACTTTGAAAAAGCTTATGTAGATATATGTGTGTATGCCTTTTAAAATATGTAGTATGAATGAAAATTGCCTCTGCTAAACCGTATTTTTTTCTCTAAAAGTTTCAAATCCTAACACCCCCATCCAAAATCCATATTGTATAGTCCGAAATTGCACAAACTGCTACACTTATACACATCATCCTTGTTTACGTTTTCCACTAACTCTGCACCCTGTTTCGTTAATTCAACTACTTTAAAAAATATGTCACTTTGAGTCACATTTTTCAATTTTCCGCGAAGTTGTTCCTTAGATTTTCTTAGTACAGCTACTGAATTGGACAGTTTCATATCATCTTCTGTTCGTGTTGACGTGACAAAGAAGCTACAAGCATTTCCGATGATGTTTAAAGGCAACGGTGGGCGAAGACCCTTGATGAGGCAGAGTAAAGATGGTTTAAATAAGCCTGAAGCAATCATGACATGTTTATGTATAAGTGTTGTAACAACTTCAACACGACTCGGATTTTCAATGCCTGATTCTGCAGCTGCTATGATTTTTAGTTTGTCTAATCCAGACGACGAGAAATGAAACAATCTAGTCACACAATTTCCGTCATTTCCAACATCAAAATCAGGTAAAGTTGAAGTATCAGTAACTGGTGGGAAAAAAGAAGTTCCATCAAACAGAATATACTGTTTTGCATGACTTGAATCACGAGTTAAATTAGACCAATCAGTAATGAATTTGATTACACTGTATGCATCCGCGACCTTATGTGAGATGCATACACTGACTGCTATTCCACCGCAATCAAACAGTGTTTGCTGAGCGACTACTAAAGTTCCGTCATGTGTGTTCCAAGGACAACCTTGTGGATAAACTAAATTTATTTCATCATTATAATAAGGATGGTCGAGAATTTCAGAGATGGGGATATCGAGTTGAACATTAAAAAACCCAGCTCCCACATCATTACAATCGATAAAGATGTTATCGTTATAAGTTCCAGCAAATGGATAATAGGAGGTTAATAGATTTGCGAGGGAATTTTGAAGAAGTGTGGATATGTATGTGGTTTATGTCATACGATGAGTTTTCGGGTTTAGGATAGAAGAAAGCTAGTGGATTATGTAAAGGACTAACAATTTGATCCAAGAAAGAAAGATTGTGATGCCTAAGTGAAGATGGAGTGGGAGAATAAGGCTTAATATGTAAGAATTATTATTAATTATTTCTTACTTATGGCCCAAGTTTACCTGTAACCCAAGTAATACCATAAATAATATTTAATAAGGAATAGATCTCGTCCGTACATTGGTTACTTGATGGACATACCAGATTAAGTCATAACCTTTATAAATTGGTCCTCCCTCCACCCATTAGGGTTATCACATATTCTCTACATGGATTCCATCGTTGACGGTTGTGGTAACATAAAGTTAGGGCAAGGAGGTAGAAACTAATTTATGATTAACACTTCTGCTTCTCTCTGTGATAATGTCTTCCGCATCAGGTATGTGCCTCTAACATTCTCTATGTAAGATTATCGTGTTCAAGATCCTAAAACTATTTAATCTTACATATGGCATCAGAGCCTGGATCATTTGAACCGATAATCTTCGTCAGGGGCGGAGCCACGTAGGCTCCAGGGTGTCCAATTGGACACCCTTCGTCGAAAAATTATACTAAAATTTTGACTTTATATTGGTATATATAGAATTTGGACCCCCTGAAATAACAAAGTGATGCGCAGTGGAGTTGGCAATAGCTTGTGCAATCCTACTTTTTGTCCCGGTTCGATTCCCCGCAGGGTTGTTTTCTTTTCTGTAATTATTTTGACTTCTTGAATTCAATTAAGTAAATAAACATGCGTAATTTTAACATAAAAGTTCAATAGCTTGGTGGTTAATAGTATCATGAAGGTCTCCAAGACCCAAGTTCGAATCCCTCCTCTACTAACAATTTTTTTTCAATTAAAATTAAATTAGTTTAATACATTTTCCTTATAGAAAAAAATTTCCTTGAATTTAATACTTTTTCTTGTGGATTTTTTTCAATTAAAATTGAATTATTTCCTTAAATTTTAATACCTTTTCCTTATGGAATAAGATTTCCTTAAATTTTAATACTTTTCCCTTATGGAATAAGGTTTTCTTTCTCTATAAATAGGAGATTCATTTACTCAAATTATATCACAATATTATTAAGAATAGAATCTCAATAATTATCTCTCTGTTTTTTCTTCTCGTTCTCTTATTTTATAACAAAAACAAAAAACTTAATATTTTAGTTTCAAGTTTCAATAGACATGACGAATTATTATAATAGAGTACCAAAAAAAAGTTCGA